TCTCTCTCTCTCTCTCTCTCTCTCTCTCTCTCTCTCTCTCTCTCTCTCTCTCTCCCCCCGCTTCTGATTGCTTCTATGACTTCTTATAGGCAACTCACTGTGCTTCCAGCAGTCTTCCCCACTGTCACTTCAGACTTCTTTCTAAACAGATAAGTAGTAAACAAGGTTGGTACCTGCTAGTTATATTTAGTGATCAGTGGGAAACACTGCCCAGGGAGGCTTTTGAGCCAGTGATTCCTGGGCGTGTATGGGAATCACCTGGACAGCTCCTGGAAGTAGAATGTTGGGCTCCATCCATCGAGTTCCAGATTCCAGAGGTGTGAGGTGGAGGTGAGGCCCCAGAATTTCTACTTCTAACAAGTTCCCAAAAGATGCTGAGGCTACTGGTCGGGAAACCACACTCAGAATCATTGTTTGGGGATCTGTCTCATTAAAGAAACAAAAGACGTTGAAGCAGAGAGAAAGAAAATATTTGGGAATTACTTTTTCTTAAGAGGCTGCATGTTCTGGGCTCCAGTTTCATTTACATTTCTACTTGCTCCACGGTGGCATGCAGTGTATTCTTAACGCTGAAATGCCGATCAAGACATCAAACCACTCGTCCTCAGAAAATATTAATAAAAGATTTGTGCAACCCTGGTGTATGTATGTGTGTGCGCGTCTGTCTTGAGCTCTCAAAGAGATTTCAGGTGATGGATTAAAGGCCTGGATGGATTAGGGCCCGGCTGCTCTTGGCTCCGTTGCGACCCCTAAGGGGGAGAGAAATCCGAGCGCGCGGGACTCATGCCCTCTACAACTTCTCGGTTGCGCAGAGGGTCCCCGCGGTCCAATCCAGGTCAGCAAAGCTTTCCCCTTCACTCCAGGGGGAGTATGAGGGTTTGCTCTGGGCTGGGGCCCTGTGCTTCCGGCTGGTGGGAAGTCAGCCTGGGGTTGAGGTGCAGGGTCTCGAGCTGGTAGGGAGAACGTGGCAAGCGCCGGGTGGGGCTCTCGGGCAGGAAAGGGCCCCGAGCCAAGAGGCGGAGTAGGGAACGGCTCCTCTGAGGCTTTTCTACCCGGGAGACAAGTTTCTGGAAGTGGGCGGGAGGAGAAGGATGGAGAATCCGATTTCGAGCCCCAGCCTACACTGCCTCCTGGGTCCGCATCCCTTTCCGGGAGCCGCCTCCGAGACAGCCGGGTGCGTGTGCCAATGCGGACTGGTCCAGCGCAAAGACACCGCCCAGGGAAGCCTCTAGGGTAATGACCCTGCTCAGCCAACAAGGAGCGGCGCAGACTCCAGCCAGCTGGCGAGAGGAACTTCCTTTCTTAGCTTTGCATCCTTTTCTCCAAATTCTGGCGATGCCCTAGGAAACTTGCACGGTGCCAGTGGCATTCTTGAGAGCCAGGCTGGCTTCCTCCAGGCGTCGGGGTTCCGGGCGCCTTTGATCTTTCTATCTGGCAGGCTCAGCTGGTCCACCTCCAGCCCGTTCATGGGAATATTAACCACCCCAAGGACTAGGCTACAGATCCCTTCCCAGGGCAGAGGGAGGAGAAAGGGGTGGAAAGGGCAGAGAGAACAGTTGAGAATGTCTTCGAGTTATGAGACCAGACTCCTCGAGGCGACGTCATCTCATCCATTGTACCCAGCATCCAGCTTAGCGCCCGACACCTCAATACATGTTGAACCGCCAGTGAATCATTAACTCTCTGAGGCTATGGTGAAGGAAGAAGTTAAGATACAAGGCAGGTGGAGCAAAGAAACTGACAGTGGGGCTGTTGCCATGGTTAAATTGAAACAAACGGGGACGTCCCTGGTGGTCCAGTGGGTAAGACTCCGGGCTCCCAGTGCAGGGGGCCGGGGTTGGATCCCTGCTCAGTGAACTAGATCCCACATGCACGGCACAACTAAGAGTCCACATGCTGCAACTAAAAGATCCCGCGTGCTACAGTGAAGATAGTGCAGCCAAAATAAATAAATAAATAAATAAAATATTTTAAAAATAAAATTTCTGAAAAAAAAAAACAGGAAGAAACGGAACCTCTTAGTTGAAATCTGGGTGTATATTTGAGAAAAGAATAAAGCAAGCAGACATCTTGGGACCAGATGGCATCAGCTGGGGATGGGTTGTTTGAATTGCCCTTGCCCCTGACACTCAGATGAAGTCTGTTCTTTCCCCTCCCAGTAGAAGATGACATTATTAGTTTTGAATTTATATGGCCCTTAGGTCAGAATCATTAGCTTAAAAGGTGCTTTGAAGAGTGGAGATAATTTGAGAGACTTTATAGGATAAAATGTAGACTATACAACTGAAAGGATCCTTATTTTAAAATTAATCCAGGTGGTGATAAGCAAGTAATTTGTTGCCATTTGTGCGGGTTAGATCTACATCTAGTGGAGGGTATAGCAGAAAAAGCTTTTGACTGAATTCTTGGGTAAGAAACTTGACCATTTATGACCTAAGTTCTTCCATCTGAAAACATGGGTATAATAATGACTGCTTTGCAAATGCTACCCAAAAGGCAAAGATATACGAAGCAACCTAAGTGCCCATCAACAAATGACTGGATAAAGAAGATGTGGTATACATATACAATGGAATACTAGTCAGCCATAAAAAGGATGAAAATTTACCATTTGCAGCAAAATGGACGGACTTGGAGGGCATTATGCTAAGTGAAATAAGTCAGAGAAAGACAAATACTGTATGATATCACTTATATGTGTAATCTAAAAAATACAACAGACTAGTGAATATAACATAAAAGAAGCAGACTCACAGATATAAAGGACAAACTAGTGGTTACCAGTGGGGAAAGGGAGGAGAAGAGGGGCAATATAGGGGTAGGAGATTAAGAGGTACAAACTATTAGGTAGAAAATAAGCTACAAGGGTACATTGTACAACATGGTGAATATAGCCAATATTTTATAATAGCTATAGACAGAGTATAACCTTTAAAACTGTGAATCACTATATTGTACACCTGAAACTTACATAATATTGTACATCAGCTATACTTCAATTTTAAAAATTATTTTAAAAAAGGTAATGATTGCTCTGGTAAGATAATGTATGCGGGCGATGTCTGGTACATCATGGGCACTAATTAATATTGGTTTTCT